TAGGCTGTTGTCATCATGCCTCCTTTCTTCACAGAAGTGTTTGCTTCTGCATGGCTACGTTGGCTTCCTTGGAGCTGCTGTGGTGCCCATGGCTGTACACGGGCAGCATGCTGCTCACTTGCCTTGATTTCCTCCTCATCCTCAGGGAAACGTTCTGGTTTTGTTTTTCTTTGTTTTTTTTAATGCTCATGACTTGTAGAAGACCTGGCAGTTGCAGTAGAGTACAGGCATCCCTTGTTGTGTAGGATAAATGACTCATAGGTGGAGCACCTGCCCCAGCCACAAACTAAAAATTCCATTCACGCTTTGATGCTGTTGTTTGTGCTCCTCTCGCACACCGAAGATATTTCAGTACTAATTGATGAAACAAGCTGTTGAGAATCTGTTTCAGAACAGGTTGTTGATCTGAAGGCAACGATTTCTCGTCCAACCTCYTGTTTTCAGAAGTTTGCAGAGCCCTTCTCTCAAGCTGAAGTTCTCGGGCATAACAGCTAGCTAAAGATGAGAGTGCAAATATTAAGCAAAAGCAGACTTTAGTTCTTTCTGAGTAGGAAAAATTGAGGACATGCCTTTTGAGTGCAGAGGATTGTTTTTAGTTTAACTAGCTTTCAAGCACACTTTGAAAACTGGTTATGTTTTTTTCCTGTGAGCTCTTAAAGTTCACAGTCTTATTCTGCATCTGTGGAAAAGCTGGGTAATTTAACATCGTAGTAAAARGCATGCTGAGGAGGTTAGGAATGATGCATAAATCTGGTGAAGTGCCAAGACAGAGATTTGCTGGGAGGCATCTCACGTATTGCACAGTCCTCAAAGTTTTCTAGGTTAACACTTCCTCTAGCAGATACGAGATGGGAGAGGTAGGAATCCTGGGATTAAATCTTTAAATATAATCCCAGCTATGGCCTTCACTCATGCTACCACTCCTTATCATGACCAGTRAGAGACTGACCTTGTAAATTTTTGGGTTGTTTTTGTTTGTTCGTTGTTTTACTTCAGGAGATTTCCTTGAAAGAACTACTTGTTCAGTGAAAGTTTAAAATTGTGTCATCCTAACTCTACCCTATTTGTGAACAGGCATCATTATGATACAGTCTTTAAATACGTGAAAGCATGCTGTTTCTCATAATACAGAGAGATATAATTCTGAGGAGAAAGGATCGTCTTTGAAACGTGGAATCTAGTAAAAACTGTATGTGTTTCACTTCATTTTTTCACTGTCAATGTATTATAACTCGATAAGATATTTCTCTAATTGCAGCCTGCCAGCAGGAGCTCTAGATTTGAACCCTAAAGTTTGCTGTGGGGTATGAAATTAGATAAGCCCTTCGTATGGGTGGAGTTCACTATAAGTTAACAGCATTTGCTGTGGTAAACCATTTTGTTCATCATCTCTTTTTGCTGAAGTGAGTCCTCGGTGTGGTTTGGGTGCACCACTTGGGTAACTGCTGAAACTGCTGTGGTTTCRGAATAGGACCTGTTTTGCTTATTTCTGAATTTTTTTTCCCTGAAACTATTAGCAGATAAAATGAAATAAGTAAGGGTTACAACTGTTCACCTGCACTTTCTTACTACCGTGCCTAAAAATGATGAGCTGTGTCATTATAAAACATAACAGTTTTAATCTCCAGTGAGTAAAAGATTAAATGGATCTTAGTCACTACTATTGCTATATTTTTGCAGTATTGTGCTGCTAACAGTATTATCGTTTTGTTGGTGACTTTTTTTTAATGTGGTATGGGGATTTTCACCTTACGTTATAAAAATACTGTACCCACATCCTTGAATATGTGGAAATATAAAAACGTTCAACGTACGCTTACTTTGTTGGGGGAATGTACAATTAGTGCAAGTCAGCAAGGACGTACTGTAAGAAAAAGAATTTTGGTGTTATTACTAATTTATGGCCAATAAATTAGTAAATTTGAATATCTCACTAATCATACACAGACTTCTGCCTGGTTTCAAAACTGTGCTTGCAGAGTGTGGCAGGATGAGATAGATATTATAGCTAGATAAGCTATAATTAATGTATGAAGGGTTGTAAAGAGGACTTGCTGAGGACTCTGTCATTCCTAGGATTGACTTAGCCCTTTTGGGTACTGCCCTTGAAATTGCTTTGCAAAAAATAACCCATGCTGTTGTAAAGGTTGCCCTTTTTCAGTGTTTCTTCAAAATAAGCAAATTAAGGCTGAGATCTTCCATTTCATGTTCTGAATGCCACTTTAATTGAGTGTTTGCATGCTAAAGCCCATCTTTTGTGATCTGTTCTGAAGATGAAGCAGGAGAAACCTCAGTGCTCGTGTCTGCTCCAAAACCGCTAGGGGCTTCGTGCAAAAACAGCAAACGGGCCACCTAGAAAAMAACAGTTTTGCTGAGCAAATGCGTTTCAAAACCTGTGTTCTTATTAACAGTCACCAATTCCACAGGGTGGTTTCAGCAACTGAAATTTTAACCTAAGAAAAGAGCAACAAAAAACGGAACAATTTTTCCTTTCAGTCAGRTTTGCTTTGAAACAATGCAGGGTGAAATATAGTAGAGAGAATTTGCTTGCTAGTATCTGACAGTAGAAGGAAAAAATGTAGAGGACTTTACTCTGCCTTGACCTGAAATTAGAAATACAACTACTTGATTTGTGACTCAATTTAAAGTTACTGAAAACTGCATTTCATTGTGGGAAAAGGTCGTCGGAGAAAGTGATTAGTCACTGTCGTTTGCTCTTTTATCTGGAGAATCATGTAAAAATTGTTGAGTTATTCGCCAGGTTTGCGTAGTTCGTTACTTTTGCATAGGTGTGACAGAAGGCAGGATCTGCAGGGCACAGGGATGCRAGGGAGGTAAAAGCAATGATGTGATTTTAGAGAGCAAAGTGYGGCCTCTTTGGTGATAGCAAAGGCAGTTGGAAACTGCCTGAGCATGAAGGAGGGTCAGTGCTTGTGGGGGGAGCAAATGCTGCCCTTTCCTGTGTATTTTGTCATTTCCTTGCATGAAGGACAAATTGATGGTCTGGCCTGCCTGTCTTTAGAAATCCCCCGTGCAATTTCCAGTGTGGGCATCCATGCGTCCATATGGCATCGYTCAGTCAGGATGGGGCACACTGAACCATGGAAAATAATCCTGAAGCGAACTGCAAGGAGATCTGTCTTCCAGTTTTGAGGTGGCTCAACCTGTATGATTTCTTTAAAATGATTTGTCTAACCTGTTCTTGGAAATTACAGTGGGATCCAATGAATTCTTGAGGCAGTTTTGAATATTCTTGAGTTTTGAAAGCTTTAACAGCCTCCCTTGGTAAAGTCCGAGTCCCTGATCTGTGGACACATTGGAGTATGGAAGATTTGCCTGCAAGATGATGGTGATGTCTCCCATCAGTATTCTCAGGAATAAATGAGCCTAATTGTATTTCCTCCTCCATGTGTGTTGTGTTGTGCACCTCTTTGTCTCAGCTTGTTCTCCTTGCTTAACCTGCTTCGCCTCTGTCCTGAAACACAGGGCCTAAAAGTGCTCACCATGTTCCATCCGAGACCTGATTGTAAGTGCAAGAACAGCTTCCCCCTGTCTAGCATACAGTGTTCTGCCCTGAACAGCTCAGTAGGATGGGTATCTGCATGTAATATCCTACAATTTCTATCAGTGTTCAGCAACTCCTACCAGAGGTTGACAGAGAAACCTGTATCTCTTGCTCTCTTCTCCCATTTTTGTCRGTATTAGTAGTTCACATCTGCCTGAACTATAGGTTTATATAAGGGTCTGGAAGTTGAGAGAAATCATACACTGAAAAAGTGAGAAATGGCAAGCTGGTGCTTTCATTTGTAATTGGTTTATTTGGCAAACGTTAGATCTCAGACGTGCCCTCCTGGGTGAAGGGCTGATGTTAGTGCTTATGAGAGGAGAGGCTGCATGATTCCTTAATCTACCTCATACATGGGTGCCTGTCCGGAGCCGAGGGCCGTGGCCACGGTAGCCACAGCAGTAGCCACGTGGCCGTGGTAGCCACAGTGGTCTGCAAGCTGGTGCTGCTGGCCTGGGCTGAGCCCGCTGGAGGCCCAGGGCTGTGTGTCCGGACGTGGCCCGCGGGACACACGGACGTCTTGCTGGTCTCTGGGTTAGGAGAGACAGACACAAGGCTGAACCATCTTGCTGGTCTCTGGGCTAGGAGAGGCAGACACGAGGCTGAGCGGTAAGTGCCAGCAGGCCGCTGTTTAGAGGGTAAACCTKGAACTTCTCCTCATCAAACAAATGAGTATTTCTGCAGATTTGTGCAAATGCTGTTTAATTTTTGCAACTTGTAATGTTCATGAGCATCTACCACTGTCAGAAAATGCCTTCGTTAAAAGGCACCAGACTCTGTCTTGGGCATACTAAATACACGCTCCAAAGTATTTGGATTTTCAGCTCCATGGTGGAGTTGTACCTGCGCAGCRTAAGCAGTCACCTGCAAAAGCTGGGTTGCACAATAAGCTCCCAAAACAAAGTGGCTTCTTGATTTTATTTTCCAGTGATATGTATGTAGTGTTGTGGCAGAAGGACAAACAAGTCCCAGGAAAAAAAYAGAGCATGTGCCTACTGTACACATGAGCACATTGCTGTTCAATCCTATTTAATGTGATTAATTACTTACCTGAGTGATATATGTTTCTAAGTATTTTCAATTTCACACAATCCCTGACTGAGTTGTCTCTAATGCAGGAATATGAAGTAAAAGCATACCTGTCAACTTCTTCCAACCAGATGTCATTATATTGAGGTTTATCATACAAAATCTTGGTGGTATTAATACTGTAATGTATATAACACAATAAATTCATGTAGGGAAAATATCTGTTTGAGATGGTTTGCATTGAGTGATGAGTGCTGTCATATTAAGTTAAATTTTAAACTGCCCTAGGAAGGATGAATGATACTAAAATGTATCAGTACCATTTCTTTCCTATTTAARGGATTTACATTGTCCATGGTAAGTAACTTTTCTTTTTCTCCTTTTGTTTTTCTCCTAAACTTTCCAGGTAAAAGTACTCCTGTAAGCCACCTTGGGTCTTCAGATTTTCCCAAGCCCCATGATCCATTCCAGCCATTTGGGGCTGACAGCAGTGACCCGTTTCAAAGTAAAAAGGGGTTTGGGGACCCATTTAGTGGAAAAGATCCATTTGCTCCCTCCTCTTCAAGTAAAACTTCTAAAGACTCTTCCTTGGGGTTTGCAGACTTCAGCTCTGTAAGTTAAGTTCATTGTCTCTGAGCAAACCACTTTCTGCTCTGCTTGCAGCAATCTATTGGGTTTTTGTTTTAACTGCAAACCTACTGTTCACTGGCTTCTGTCTCTTTAGTACCTTCATACTGTCCTTGTTGTTTTTGTATTAATATTTCTGTAATAAAAAAAGGCATTCTTTCAATAAAAAAAAAAGTTTTGAGTTTCATACTAAATTTTAAAGGGTTTACTTGCTTTTAAATTATTTTAGTGCAGTGTGCCTTTACTCACAAATTCTTTGTAGCAGAATCTGTGTATGTTTTTGTTGCATGGAGGCTATTTTGTAACTGATTTGGGGGAGTCAATGATGTAAAGTTTCTTCAAAAATAATTGTTGAAGACATTTATATAGCAATTTCACCACACCCTGAGAAGTAAATCCTTAATGGAAAAAGATTCCATAAAATATCTGTAATTGTTTGTGGGGGAAAAAACAAAGTTCTGACAATCCTGTCACAATGTTGTCTGTATACAATGGAATGTGATCATAAGGATACATACACAAGACAGAGATTGGAAATTTAGCTGTTGAATTTTGTTCCCATTATTGAAAATGTAGAGAAGCCCTTGTTAGACAAAGCGTACAAAGCTGTTTTGTAGAACCAATAGCGAAATGCCCACATTGCACTCCACGAGATGGTATCGGAAGGTTGGAAAGCAAAGCCAAGTGCCCTTTCATGAAAACATATCAGAATTTCCAAAGGTTTGGCTTTGTTTTTAGTGTTGGCAGGTACTTGATTGAACTGGAAATTATTGTAAATGTAGTTGTAGTAGTAGTGTGGTTCTTATTACTTCCATGAATAGGTAGAAAACTGTTCCATCCATAGCCTGAGGCTTCTCCCTCCTTTCATGTGTTTTTGTTCTGTCACATTGCCATACAGAAAAATTGCCAATTTGCTCTGTTATTTACTCTGATGGGCACAATTCAGTGTTCAGCAATTGGAGTTCTGAAAGACGAATCTTTCAGGTTTCTTATTTTTTAATGTTCTACCCCCCCTTCAATTATAAGTTAGTAGTAAGTGTGTATCATTTCCCTATTTCATATTGTTAGTTGAGGTCATCTGTGCATATTTGTAGCTGGCCTCAGTTCTTTAATTTATCTATGATGAAGTTCAAGGTATTATGTATGCTTTACCACAGTTAGTACTAGCCTGTTGAATTTAGTGCACAGTTAAATTCTGTGAATGTATACAAAATGGTGACATTCTTAATAAAAATAAGACACAAAGCTTGCTTTATCTGAAATTTCTTGAACAACACCTAATTTCTTCTTTGAATGAAAGCAAACTAATGGAATGGAATGGCTGTTACCCAACTATTGTTATCCTATTTACAGACTGCATTTCTTAAGAGTGTGATTTAAACTGAGTGATTGTATCAAATGATTAATCAACATCTCCTTCCCGTGTCCCAGTGGGTGCCCTAGTGTTTAATTTTTCCTGCCATCAAGTTTCAGGAGGTCAGATTAACTTGAAAAGATAAGAAAAAGCAGGGAAAAATGAGATCTGGGTGGTAGCCACTTAYAGTTTGTTTAATTACTATTAGGTGGCACTTCATCCAGTAACATTCTTAAAATTGGTTTTGCAAATTGCTTTATACTGTCCCAAGAGGATAAAAAAAAAAGTGTTAACTGAAGTTGATTGAAAAGAAAGAGATTTTGTTTCCTTGATCAGTATTTATTTTTTGATTGCATATAACACAATTACCTTACCATACTTGGTGATGATTAATTCTCCTGCGTGAAGTCGTAATCCAGAAGAATATTATGTCCTCTCCTGACAATATTCTATTGTCTTTACCTGCTGTTTGGGTAACTTTCTTGAACCTAGGCATATGCCAAAAAAACTGTTCTTTTAAATTACTTGTATTTCAGTTACATTAACTTTTTATAGGTAATCTGCACAAGGATCAGGGGCCACAATGAATTGTTCTGTATTTTACTATTTGAAGGCCAGAGTTGTTCTCCTGAAAATTTYGCTTTATACTAAGCCTCTGTAAGAAGGCACGTCCAGATTTGGTTTCCTATGAATCACTTCTCTTTTTCTTTTTTCCTTTTTTTCTTCTCAGACCTTTAACCACAAAAATATAACTTGTATAACATAAACAAATCATAAGCTGGACTCCCCTAAGCTTTGGAAGATTTACCCTCAGACGTAAGCTATATAAGTAAATGTTTTTTCCACATTTAAAAAAAAAAAAAAAAAAAAAAAAGATGCCCCAAAAGGATTACCTAAACCTTATTATATTTCTGAAAATAGTAACTGTTGTTCTCCATCACAGCTACAGGATCTTCCTTTTGAATTCTTGGAATAAATGGAGAAGTCCTACACTTGAGTCTGCCTTCCCCGTGTCTTGAAAAAATCATGTTTTGAGAACCTTAGTGAGCTTTTAAGTATTGTCTGCCAGCTGTCCACTGAAATTATTTAAAGGAGTAACGACAGTAGGATTTCTTCATTTTAAAAGTAAAATTTCTTGCAATGTGTGGTACCTTCATTGTATTTTGAAAGCACTGAATGCAGAAGTCCTCGTCTAGATTTTTATGGCAATGACAGCAGAGGTATTGTTTGGAGAAAAGTAATTTTAAAAGTAATCCCCTTTCTTGCATCATAACCCTTGCTTTTTTAAATATTAACAGAGCAATTGTGAGCATCTGGAAGAGCACAGATAAAGCATAATTTAACTACAGCGAATGAGAGTTGGCCTCGGCTTTAAAGAAATACAAATAGATTTATTTATTTGAAAATAGGAATTAGAGATACAGCGCAGAGTGGAGAAGGCAAGAATGGAGGTCTTTGTACAATTCACACCCAGCCAGCAGCAGGGCTACTATTTAAAGTTGTGTTTAATATTCACTACAATATTGCAAGCTTGCCTGGGAAGGCATGGCCCTGTCAGCTAGTGCAGTGGCATCCTTTGCTGTGTGCAAAATTACTGCATTGTCGACCAGAGACCAATATTTGCAACACGCATTCAGCTGAAACTCAAAACTATAAGTTTAATGTATTTTTTCCTTAAATACAAACAAAAAAAAATCCTCAACATTCAAAAAAGGAGGTTGTACAAAGCAATTTTAGACGTGGGATATAATACAAATATTTGCTCTGCAAACACTCCTGTTAGCATTTGGTGAGAGGATGATGTTAAATTTAGATGGTACCACATTTTATTTTAGATTTAAATTAGTATTATTTCTAAAATACTTTCATAACGTTTTATGCAAAGACCTCAAGAAAGCCAATTTTTTCATTCTTCAGTGCTAAATACTGGAAGATAATTTTSGAACAGTTTTGCGGATTTGATTGCTGCTGTGTACTTAAATGCTCAAGCAGGAAAGCTTTAGAAAGCTCAAGCAGGCTTATGAGCTGAATATTAAAATGTGTTATGCCTCCTTAGTGTTTTTTGCTAAAGTAAATTGGATTATCTTGCATTGTTTCTTACTGGAAAAACTCTGCATGTATTTTATGGACAGTTACAGAAAGACTTTTTTTTTTTTTAAAATTCCTTTTGAGTGGGTGATGAAACATCCCCCAAATTGTCAGTCTCCAGATTCATTAGTAAAACCTCTCATCACTAACAGGAAATATTACATAAAACTCTTTGCAGCGTAGTTGCACAAGAGTAAATAGCTTTTCGTTTTACCAGCTAAAAGCCAGCAAATTCGGGATTCTGAAGAGTGGATGGAGGTTGCTGTGCTCCCAAACCACCAGCAAACTTTCTGGCTGTGGGGTTCTTGTTTGGCCTCAGTCCTCCATCCTTTTTCGTAGCCTGCTGAGACACGGAGGCAGGAACAGGCAGCAGGGCTGGTCCCTGTGGTGGGAGGAAGACAGATTTAAGGAAATAAATGAAAGGATGAAGTGGAGAAAACCACAAGCAAATTTGTATTCAATTCCAGCCTGATGCAGCTTGGTGTACTCAATTTGTGTATTTAATGCATTAGATTTATTGTGTCTTCCATATAACTTTTCTGGCTTTTTTTCCCCCCCCCCTTTTTTTTTTTTTTTGCTGTAAATGTGTTTATTAATTGTTTCCCGTTTTCGTTTTTTAGTTTGGAAATGAAGAGCAGCAGCTGGCGTGGGCAAAGCGTGAGAGTGAAAAAACAGAGCAAGAAAGACTAGCTCGGTTGCGGAGACAAGAACAAGAAGACCTTGAGTTGGCTATTGCACTCAGTAAGGCTGATATGCCAAGCTCCTAAATAGGAGTTCTTTGCCTCTACCCTTCCAAGTGAAACCTTTAAACCCGGCTTTTATAAAAATACTAAATTCTTGGTTTGTATTGTGAGAATAATTCTAGTCACCCTCAACTCTAAGCAAGACTGGCTGGTTATGTCAAGCTGGGCTCTGTGTGGCTTTTCAAATGTGTAATATACAGGAAACACTGTATAAGATGTATTATACGTTTTAGGTAAAATTTACTGCTTGTAAGAAGTTTAACATATGATCCTAAGATACTGGAAGCCAAGTTTCTTTATTTTGAAGACCATGTTGCATATAGTAAACTGCAGCTTATGAATCTAACTTTTTATTACCTAAATTCCATTGTTTTTTGAGCCTGCAGTATGCAATTAAAAGAAAATATCATAAAAAGACAATATTTATAGAGTTAGCTTTCACTTATCACATCAATTGAATTAGTCATAGTAGGCTAATGAATACAAATCCATCTATGTCAAAATCTTCAGCATAAATTCATTATTAGGTGCTCCCTTTTTAATAAAGAGTTGCATCTCTTGTGGAAGAATCTGACAATTTATGATGAATATGAACGCTGGGAACTCTATRAAATACTTTGAAGCCTCTACAAATAAGGAGTAGTTCTTATATCAACTTTTATTTGCATTGAGTTTTAATAATCATATGTGATGTTGTAAAAGAGGGAGTTAATCCGGTTATAGTAAATTGGACAAGTGATGACTTTGGCAATTAAATCATTAGGTAAAATCATGCTTTGTCTCATAAGCAAATACGATTACAGGACTGTGATGCAAGATCAAACAATTCAAAACTTTGCAAGTTTAAGCTATACTCATTGCTGTGTTTTATTTTACCCTCTTTTACTTCAAGCCCCAGAAACTAGATCATATTTGTGTTATCCAACTGACTGTGTGAGACTGTCTACCTCTGTTTCTTTAATTCCACTGGTCTTATATTATGGGGATACAAATCAAAAATAGCTGAAATATGGCCAATTTGAAACAGATTTCATTTGCCAAATACATGTTCATGCATAAGCTATACTGGTAGACTGGATTGGCTTTAAAAGGCAGGTTGCAGTATTAGGTCCAAATAGGAAGAGATTTTAAATGCTGTTCCTGTAGAACTCTACATATTCCCTTGGTAAAGATGATGCAGAATGTTTTATGTGTCATATCTAAAACAAGTCCTTATGATAAATTTGTGAATTACCTACTGAATTGCTTACTAAAAATGCCTTTTTTGGTACTTGCAGGAATTCTAACACTTCAGTTGTCTTTGCCTTGGACTCCTACATCTAAATAGAGTAGACACCTAGCACAAAATTTTCCATCTGTCTTTAATGTATATCTGCTTTCCTATCCTTGGTCCTGTAGGAATACCAACTGGGTATTTAACACTGTGTTCTTACTGGTGCAACCCTGTTCTTGGAAAATTTTCTTTTTTTTCTTTTTTTTTTTTTTTTAAATGTGGTACTCATCGTCTCTATTGCATTCACATTTCTTATGCCCTTGCTTCCTTATTTTTATTTCTCATGCTACAGTGATAGTGCCTGTTTATGCCATGAAAAGTTTCCATCCTGTTCCAATTGCCTTACTCTGGAGGCTTTCCATACATGGAGCCAAGGATCAGATTAAATAGTTTTAATCTAATTAGCAGTTTTCTATTCTGAAATGCAGCTAAAAAATAACATGTGTTGTTTCCAGCTTTTGAGAGCAGATCTATCAGTGAGTACGTGTCTGTGTCTGTGCACTGCGTACRTGCACACAGATACCACCCTTTCACGCAGGCAGCAATGGGTTTGACAAAACTCTAAAATCTGTTAGACAAAATTATCAAACCTGAGTTCAAAAGTGTCAACAAGTTCTCTTCCGGGGTCTACRGGACTCCAGGTCCCTGAAAGCAAATTAGGCCTGTGTCGAGCTAACTTAAGCAAAGCCTTTTGCTATGAAAGAGCGATTTTCAAAATTGKGTAAGAGTCTTCATTTTCCTTTGGGTCTGAATCTTTGTGGTTTCTCCTCAGCTTTAATATAACTGTTATATGCAAAACCATTTTAGAAAGGAAAGCGACTTTTGGGCTGCTGTTTGGCTGATGCAGCTCCAGGGGGACAGGTGGATAATTTCAATACCTGAATTCATGTTTCCTGCCCCATGACAGGACTTAGTGCTTGTCAGTTCTCTGAAATAGTGTAATTTCTGAGGCAGTGAGTTGGTGTGTTCAGCAGGGAGCCAGAAATGTGAATTAATTTAGCATTCCACATAGCGTTAGAACTAATTACTTACTTTCCTCTTTCCTCATGGGCACATTCTCTATATTTGCTTGGACAGGAACAGAAGAAGGTCCGGCAAATTAACAAGTGCAGCACATGTCCTCTGTGCACGGTGTATTAGCATTAGTAATCCTAGGTTTACCGAGACACTTTAGATTCCAAATTTTAGACACTGTAGTAGAGCTGTGATTTCTCCCCATCATATTTTCCAGGAAAAAAAAAAGTTTGACACCATTCTTCCCTTATGCATGTAACTTAGTGTTTTGTATAATACCTATTCTTGCTCTTCTGAGACTTTATTTTAAGATGTTGATCTTATTCTTCCTCCAGAACAGTGAAATTTAAAGCACAAACAGGTCTGTTGCTATGTGGGCAGATAAATCTGTACAATGCAAGATATATAAAATGTGAGTATACGCAATACATATACAGTGTATATTATAAGATTCATATTGTCTGTATGTGTGTATATATATATATCATATTGTATAATGTAATAATAGTGTGTGTATATACTATATATGTCCACATACTATGTCTAGTATATAATTACTTCTACTGTACATAAAATGTGTATATACAATGAATATGTAGAATATTCTTATTCGTATTCTATATATTAAAATTTGTCTGTATGTATGTATTCTCTATACAGAGACGGATACAGAAATGGAAATTAGATCATGGCTCTTATAATTTCAAAGTTCTGGTGAAAGAAAAAAAAGCTGAAATTACTATTATTTTTTTTTTTCAAGAATACTTTAATCAACATGAAAAACTGTGYTCAATAGTTGTGCCAAGGGTAAGAGTGAATCCTGGCGGAAAGTAGTATCACCTGCGCTCGATGTGAGTTCACATTGTGTTGGATTTTTAAGGTTTTTTTTGAAAAGTCCTCTCTATTTCTTGCATGTGTTGGCYGTGTGATACCTTTGCTCTGGCGAGGCACTGATTTTTCTCTTTATTTTTGCTTGTGTTCTCTTTTCTTTTCCCCTTCGTGCCCTTTATAAACCATTTCAAAAGAGCTATTCCCTCACCCGCCACAAGACAGGTGCACATTGAGGTAGAAAACACGTTTTTCCTGCCTCATTCCAGTTCCGTAGGTTGCATAGAGTTGTCATCTGCGTCTCAGCTCTAATTTTCCCCCATTCCCACCCAARTTTTCCTTTGGGAAGAATGCTTATCCGTCGCGTTCTTGCCTTTGAGGACACGAGATGGGTGCTCTGCTTCCATGGGTCCATAGCCAGACCCGGTGGTTTGCTGAGCAATCCCAGAAGAGTTCGGTGAGCTTTTATAGGGACACGTGTGTTAAAATACAGGGTACTGTGACCGCTGGAATGACTCATGGAAAACCATGAACTGCATGCCAAGGCACAACAGTTCAAACAGGGAAAAATGGGCAGTTTTTTGCCCTAAACACATACATGCAAACCGGGTAGAGGACACAGCTATCACATTGCTTGCGTATTCTCTTGCAGAGCACACGTGCTCACGTTTGCCTCCAGTGGTTTCCTGAAGTTAAAACCCAAAATGCTTTCTTTTTAAAGCCTACTGGGCCTTCTGCAATAAAAGCAGTTGCTCTTAAAGGTGGTACTTCTCTAATACTGCTGTATGAAACGTTTTTATATTGGCAAATGTTTCCTTTGGAAGCCTCTGCCCTAGGAGAACCCCTGCTGTGTTTCATCCCATGTAACGTGCGCTCAAAAGTGTAGGAAATCCTGTGCTGTGACTGACAGTGAGTAGCTTTTTTTTGATCTTAATTCCTGTCTGTGAAATCTGTCGTCAGAAATTTTGTAGACATTATTTTGTTGTTTTTTTGCTAAAAGATAACGCACTTTCCTGGATCCTCCTTGCAATCCTTTGGGATTCCTATGTCTTCTCCCACATTTCTCCCTTGAGGAGGGTATTTGTGCGCTAGGACCCGAGGCCCAAGGAGTTTTGGTCYGAACAGTGTCGCCTTCCCCGGGCCAGGGCTGGATTTCTGCCGTGTGTGTTTTATTCCTCCCTCTCAGGAAATGCATTTCTGCTGAATCCGAATGCGGAGAGTGAACTGGGCTGAACTGGTTTGGTCTGTGCTAATAACCATCTAGCTCGAATCGCTTGGYCGGTGCTGTAGTCGAGTTGACTGGTGTGTGTCAGCCCGTCCCGCTGTAGGCTTCCCAACCAACACACCTCTCCTTGGAAAGTGTGCTGGAATCATAGAGAATTTATTTTTAGAGTAAATACGTTAACTCTTTATTCCTCCTTGACACATTTGTTTTATCAGGTGGTATACTTGCTCTTTTTACTTGAAGGTTTTATAAAATAAAGGCTAATTTGTTTATAAAGTGGGATATTCGTTTTTCCAACTTCTGCCTTCCCCTTTAACTTCAACTTCAAAAGGAAAGCCCATAGTGAGTGTGGTTCCTTCTGCTGTTACAATGGTACAGTGCATTTCTTAGTGTCCCTTTTAATATGCTTTCCTTCAGTCTGACCTAAAAACAGTGGAAACCTAAAGTGGAAATTGCAACGTTGACCTGAATATGACTAATATCTCCAAATATGTACATTATTGTAGTTATATTTATCTTTCAAGTATCATAACAGATCAAAAGAAAGGTATTTTAATTTTAACCCATCTCATGTGTTTATTGTTTAATAAGAGAAATGTTATTGTTTAATATAATAAATGAAAAGTTACTTTTTTGGAGCTCTGAGGCTTTGGCAATCGTTCTTTCACCTGGTTTTCCTGGATTTCACGTGCTCAAGTGTCAAGATTTGTGGTTCTCACTGCRGGTAAGTGCTTACATGGTCTCTCCATGGATTTTTTCCCCTTCGGGACAGGACTTTTTCCGCACCCTTCTCCCGTCCACGTTAGTGCGAGGCAAAGCCTTGCCGGGGCCGCTGCAAAGCAGTGCGTGCCACGCCACCGGGGCCATGTGCACAGGGAGGCAGCGAGGAGATCCCCGAGGACAACCCGGCTGGAAAAACGCCTTCCCTGTGGCTCTCTCCTGCTCTGCTCGCCCTGACTCACTCTCCCGGCCGYGGGTTTTATTTACCCGGCTTTTGCACCCGGTGGCGCAGTGTGCCCGGGCAGGTCCGGCCGGAGGCAGCTCACCAGCAATATTCCCATTGCGCTGACGTTTGCCAGGCGGGATTTTGTCCGAGCCGGACCTGACCCTCGCRTCGGTCCCTGCCGAATGCCCACGGACACCCCTGCAGCTCCGGCTGCCAACGCCGCCTTCGCATCTATTTCTCTTGAGGAGAAAACTGCCCGCTCTGCTCCCTGCTGTGCTCTGCTCCGAGCGCGTCCTCTTGTCCGGTTCTAGAGGTTGTTCTTCTGGAACAGGGTGTGGGAGCACTCCCTAATTTAATGACCGCAATTAAAAGTTGCTGCTGACCCAGCGTCTCCTGCCAGCGCCGGAGCTTCGCGCTGGCGCGTTCCTACAACGCCCTGTGCCGGGTGATATAAAACGGTGACGTCAAAACTCGGGCTGTCATCGTGCGTGGGCTCTAATAGAGGAGGACGTTGGCGTTTGGGGGATTTCTTTKAGTTTGTGTTTTGGTTTGTGCTCAGCCCCGGGCTCGGTTGCTTCTCTGCTAATGCCCTGAGCGGCATGGGGGATGTCCAGGGTGATGTCCCACATGCTTCCTGGTGACCTCATGGTCGTTCAGACCTCCAGGAATGTGCTGAACTCTCTGACGTGCCAAAGAATCAAAGTCAAGCTGCTGTAAAGAGCTGCTGTGTCTATAATTATAATAAACCCGATTATAACCCTGCAGCAGGTATGTCCATTTATAACYCTGAAGCAGGTATGTCCATGAGCAGCTTCTGTGTTGCTGAATTTATGCTTACTACAAAGGATGGAAAATACTTTGTTTTACCAAAAGAAATTGTATTTGAAGTAGGTAACAAATGCTAAATATCTTTGCGGAGTAAATAGGGTGCTGTTGCTCCAGCTCTCCTTGTGCATAAAAACATGCCTTTTTTGCCAAGTTTAAACCTCTCCCTTCTGTAAAGCACTGCCTGTGACTCTCTGTTTTGGTCTCTACATAAAATATTATGAGATCAAAAAATTGTGGCTGAAAACATAGACCTCAAAAGATGAAATCAGACATTTTTTCTGCCTAACGAGTTTCGGGTAAATCCCTG